TCAATTTGGCCAAGATCACCATTTCTTACTGGTCCCGCAACCACCGGATCCTTTAATCCCCAAAACAACTCTTCCCCAGCCAAAACTCTCCGCGTGCCTGTCTATAGTTCGTGCAATTACCCTCCAATCGTATGTCCTGCCCAAACATCCTCCGGGCAGCTCCCCCTCCTCTACCCGTCGCCATCATCGACGTTCTTTTGGCTAGGGGTGTTCGGCGGTTAAAAACCGTCGGTTTTGGTCGGTTCGGCTACCGAACTGACCTTGTCGGTTTTTAGAAACCGAGAACCGAAATCGAACCGTGGAAATACGAATCGGTTCGGTTAACCAAATTTTCACTTTTCGGTCGGTTTCGGTCCGTTTCCGGTCGGTTTCTGGTCGGTTTTCAGTTTTGGTAATCTGGATGGTGACTATCAATTAACTATCCGGTTACCTGCATATTTAGTTGCATTTTTTTGACAAAAAATTGTGAAAAAATATAAAATATTCCTTGTATGCAAGCATGTAATCACAATAAATGAATACAAAGCACAACATCCAAATTGATAATACCACAAACACAAAATATCCAAATCCAATGTCCAAAATCTAAAGTATAAACTAGAAATTTGAAAGTTACAACAAACAATACTAATGTTCAAAGTGTAAAAAACATTAACTTGGCATAAGAAATTAAGAAGTCCAAAGCATAATTAAAAAGCATAGTGAAGTTCATTTCTAATTTCTCATAAACCTCCTATTCCCCTTCATCCGAATCCAAATCCAAATCCATTATATCTTCATATGCATCACTACAATAGAAAATTAGAATTAAGTAAATGAAATTGAATAGATAATGAGAAAGAAATAGATATAATTCTAATTCTAATTATCTTACTTGGGTCTTTTAGAAGATTCCGCATCATTTACTTGAGCGCATGACATGAATAAAAAAGATATAATTATATCAAGTATGTGTAGTATGTACAATCATGATTAGCATTACCTGAGACAACATGATAGCAACCTGCAAAAGATTCAACCTCATCCATATATTGCCTAAGAACCACGGGTTCATATTCTTCATCCTTCGCGTTCAACCAACTTTTTAAGCAAATAAGTGCTTCGACCATCCTAGGAGCCAATGAACTCCTAAAAGGATCAAGAATACGACGACCGGTAGAAAAAGCTGATTCAGATGCAACCGTCGAAACCGGAACTGCAAGCACATCTCTAGCAATTTGGGACAAGACCTTATACCTAGGAGCATTTACTTTCCACCAACCTAGGATGTCAAAACTGTCATCCACTAGCTCTTCGCATTGCTCAGATAAATACTTATCCACATCATTCTTCT